CCGAGACTGCAGGTTGCCTACTGAGGTCGCATTTGAATCTTACTATGTGGCTGCTATCGAGAGGAAGATACTGCTTGACAGTGTTTATGAAGGTGTCCAGCTGCTGGACACCTTTTTTTTTTTACCAGAAGAGTGACTGTGTTGATGTCTTCAGGGTGGTTACTGCAAGATTCAGGAACTCTTTAAGCTCGTCTAAGGTCGTTGGTTGCTTCACATTACAGGAGATAGTGAAGTAGTGACATTTCTGTGATTATAAGAAAGGATGATTGATTGATGAAGATTAAGCCACCCGAGAGGGGGCATGGGCATGAATAGCCCATAAGAGAGGATGTTGTTGTTATTGTTTTAAAATCAGTTACTGGAAACAAAAATTCCATGTAGCACGGGCTATGGTGAGCCCGTAAGTGGAGGCTTTCTAGAGCCATTATCTGTATCAATAGCTGATACTGGAGATGTGGGGATGGGGTCCGTGGACGCGCCAATTCAATCCAAGACCATAGTGCTGGTCAGATCGGTGAATTGATGGGTTACACACCTTGCTCACAGCTGAATGCCACAGGAGGGCTGTCGGCGGGGCTGGCCGGTCTAGGGGAAATTGAAATTTAAATTTAAATAAGTTTATTGAGGTAAAATACACACAAAGGGATGAGGTAGCTCAAGCTATTCTCACCCCGTTCAGTACAACGTGTTAATACATACATAGACACACATCACAAACAATAAACATATTACCAAACATTCTGAGAGATAAACATATACATTTCCTCCTAGGTCTAGGGGAAGTTGTCCGGGTGTTACAAAGAGGGTTGGTTTCCTCATCCCAGTTCCCCGAAGTTGGTAGTCTGGGCGAATTTCCTTCTTCAAGTTGTCGTAGTCGCAGAGGTGGTCGAGGCGTTCTTGAGGGACGACCATGGGAAGTATCCGTCCTGCTTCCCTGCACTTGTATTCCCAGTAGTCGTTGTGGATTAGGGAGTTATGCCGTCTGTCATCCTTGGAAAGTACGCGGCCACGTCTGAAATACCCAGAGGAGGCAGCATGGGAGCCTGTCAGTCCGGGTGTTGCCGGTGCTTAATCAGGAGGAGCAAATGGTGCCCGGACGGCCGCATGATGGGCGGGAGAGCCGGTGACATCGACTAAAGCATCGGAGTCGGTCGAGTAATCGTGTTCGTCTTCCTTGGGTTCGTCTTTGGAATCGGTCAAGTCTTCAGTCGGTCGAAGTCTTCGGAGTCGTCCTGGAGGCTGCTGCCGTCTCTGTCAGTGGGACAAGCTCAATAACTGCCGTGGGTGGGGGGTCTGGCCACAGTGACATCTCCCTGAGGGTCGACTCGGGGTCCCCGGGGTAGAGGGTCCGGTAGCAGTTGTGGAAGCTGGAAGGTCATCAGGTACAGCAGCTGTCGGACGTCCATTCGTGACGCGCAGCCTGTTGAGGACACGGATGTAGCTGGTAATGGTGTTGCCTACTATTTTGGCAGCGAGGTGAAGGAGAACGGGTAAAAGGGTGATTTTGGTGGAGGCTGCAGACTGGTCCGGTGGTGGTGTGGTCATAGGTGGTGCGGTCGGCTGGGTGCGGCGTCCCCAGAAGCCGGGTGGTGGTTTATTATTATTAACATCTTTATTGACAAAATTAATTACAATTTTGCCTAATCTGAGGATTTTGATAGTCTTATTAAAGTGAGGATAATGCTGGTATTCACTGTCATGCAAGACAGAGGGTCATACATAAGACAATAGGTCTAAACTGTAGCCTGAAGCACATATATATTATGGTTACAATCAATGTTTTATTGTATGGATATGTGAAAACAACTTTCTACTGTTCACTGCCACACAAGGGCAGGGATGGGTTCATAAGTGATGCAGCTTAGAAGTAATATAAATAAAAATTGTTCTTCATTCTTTAAAATGGACAAGCAAATTTTGGATAAATTGTTAGGATGTCGTCCAGAACACCTGAGTCAATAAAATAGTTACACAGTTGGTGGTACAAGAGGCCAGGAGGTCTAAAGTCCTTTACGGTTTCACATTCATCAATAAAGTGTTCTAGTGAATGCATTAAAGGTTTATCACAGAGTTTACAATCTGAGTATTCTGGTAGTGGCTCAGCCTCACTAACCTGCTAGATGTGCCTACAGCCAAGGCGAATTCGCGCAATGACTACATCACACTGCCTGGTTCGGTTACTGTGCTGACCATACAAATACCTATTATTACAAAACTTGTCATAACTTTTAATACTGCAGCTTTCAGGTCTCTGGGCATTTCTTAGTTCTTCTAAATCTGAATTATTTTTTTTAATTTGTATGTTTCTAATAACTGCATTAGATAGTCCAAATTCATAACCAATGTTTTCTTTCCTGCAAGCCTCATTGGCCAATTGATCTACAAAGTCATGTTTTCCAACTCCAACATGGGATGGGATCCACACAAATTTTTTACAAGAGTTATTATCATTGGCAAAAATGGTGAATCTCATGTGTTCCCGGGTAAGACCAGGAAGTCCGATGGGACTGAATTTGTTTGTCGAGGTATGGTGGAAGAGGAAGCGGTAACCGTCATCTTTTGGATTTCCTTTTGCCGGAGGAGACAAGTCAGGCGAGACCGCAGAGTATGAGCCATTGCAGAGCAGACAGCTGTTGTTGTTGTTATAGATTCAGCTACTCGGAACAAGTTCCAAGTAGCACGGGCTATGGTGAGCCCGTAGTGGACTTACCTGGCATAGGAGCGATGCCCCCCAGCAGACAGCGTCGGTGGGAGGATTTGTAGTCCGTGTAGTGGTGCTCGTGAGCACTCACTACATCGACTGTATTTCCACGCTCGCTCGATGCACCTCCCGGTGTAGTGGGAGTACTGGTAGCACTTAAAGCACTGCCGGATCTCGGTGAAGCGCTCCTTGGTCACTTCGTTTGGTGGTATCTTGAGGTTATCTTGAGATGATTTCGGGGCTTTAGTGTCCCCGTGCCCCGGTCCTCGACCAGGCCTCCACCCCAAGGAAGCAGCCCGTGACAACTGACTAACACCCAGGTACCTATTTTACTGCTAGGTAATAGGGGCATAGGGTGAAAGAAACTCTGCCCATTGTTTCTCGCCGGCGCCTGGGATCGAACCCAGGACCACAGGATCACAAGTACAGTGTGCTGTCCGCTCGGCCGACTGGCTCCCTGGTGATTCCTGGTGGTATGGTGATTCCTGCGCACTTAAGACCGAAGCGTGGGTCACTGCGATGGCCGTAGTGAAGGTCACCTTCCGTGTTGGTCTGCGGTTAACTTCAGCACGGTCTAGACCGCTACTCCTGTCAGCGTCTGGTTCTGGTCGTTGATGCTGGCGAGGATGTCGTCGTTGTAGTTGGTGATCCATGTGCTGATATTCCTGGCGAACACGATCCTGTCCGCCAGGTAGCGTCGTGGTGGCGTGAGGGTGAGGCCGGCGTCTTGTAGGGTGGTCGTGGCGGTGAATATCTTCTCAAGATCCGAATCCCTGAAGAAGAGCAAGTGAACACCCCTCTCTTGTCTCCTGGATGTTGGCCGGTGAGACGTTGGTGGAGACTCGTGGTAAAATCTCGGCGGTGGAGAGAACGAGGTGCTCCCGGAGGCAAACCTTGGACCAGATTCACGAAGCAGTTATGCAAGCACTTACGAACCTGTCCATCTTTTCTCAATCTTTGGCGGCTTTGTTTACAATTATTAATCAGTTAATGAGCTCCGAAGCACCAGGAGGCTGTTTATGACAATAACAACAGTTGATTGGGAAGTTTTCATGCTTGTAAACTGTTTAATAAATTTAACCAAAGCCGTGAAAGATTGAGGAAAGATGTACACGTTCGTAAGTACTTGCGTAAGTGCTTTCGTGAATCTGGCCCCTTGACCCTAAGCAACATGGTGCGTGTGGGCCCCGGACCATCGGAGCATGGGTCGGCAGCAGAGATGGATGTTTGGAGGGAATGTGATTTTTAGTTTTATTTTAGCCTTTGGGGCGAGTTTATTGGGCAGCGCCACTCATCCTGTGAGTGGACATACCGCCATAGCAGCATGTACAGCAATCTTCAATAGGAAGAAAACCCGCTGGGTTGTTCATCCTGTCACTTGCATCCAGACACAGCTGGGACTTGCTTAACTGTCTCAAGTTAACCGCTCCTCAAACAAGAAGATTACCATCTGTCAACCCTTAAAATCTTACGTTATCTTGCGGGTGCAAAAGGGGGGAATCTTTTAAGAACAGTATCAATATTTGATAAATAGTGTTTTCGTAACTTAAACAGTGTGGGGTTTAATATGCTACACATATTTTTAATGTCTCTTAGGTGTTCACATTCACGTAGATAGTGGTCAAGGCGGTGTCCGTCACTCTCATCACAGATTCTGCAACTCTGCTGCTCAACTGTTGTTTCCATTCCGAATCTCCATGGATATTTGTATCCAAGACGGATTCTCCCTATTACCGATTTTCTCTCGCGGCCACCTCCTCTTCGTCCATAATGATTGGGATTGCCAGCTGCAACCATGTTGTACCTGTCTGGGTTCGAATCCTTCTGGGGTGTGGAGTTTTCAGTTGCATATTGGCTTGGGGACCATTCAAGCTTGTTTGCATATGTGTTGGTCACGTGGCCCCACAAAATGAGGTGATTCAATGAAATATCTATGCCCAAGCATACGACCAAGTGCTGTCGGGTCGTTGGGGATATAGTCTCGGCTACCAATGACTTTTGTACAGTCATGGTGGTCGAGTGGTTAAGGTACCAGGTACGCCAAGGGGTGCATAGTGCTCCTGGCTGTCTGGGGTTCGAATCCTTCTGGGGTGTGGAGTTTTCAGTTGCGTATTGGCTTGGGGACCATTGAACCATGTGAATGATCGCTTGAATGGTTGAAATATGCATTTACATATATACATGTATGTATATGCATATTTATTGTAAATAGTTTTAGAATATAATTCGAAATCAGAGGTCTAAAAATAAACATTTTAGGAGCAGATTTTGTGGAAACGGTTGAAGAGGCAAACAACAATTAATTAACAACATATTTATTATGGAATAAATTATACACAAAAATAAAGAATATACTTGTAACTGGACTTAAATATACATATAAACTAATCGTTATCTCGTTGACTCTCTTAGGACCTGCTCTTGCACCAAGTCCCGGTGCTCAGAATTTTTTGCTGATTGGAGGGCCGTAACTGACGCTGACCTTCGGAACGCCGTAAGAACCGCTGAGGGACCCAACGCCGCCGCCAAGTCCGACACCACCGCCAAGTCCGACACCGCCGTCGAAACCTCCACCGATATCTCCACCGATGCCACCGAAACCTCCACCAATGCCTCCGATACCACCGCCAAGGCCGACACCACCTCCAAGGCCTACACCGCCTCCAAGACCACCACCACTGATCCCTCCAAGACTGAGTGTGTGGTGCCCATGGCCACCGAGCTTTCCGTTGAGGGTAGAGAAGCCAGCACCCAGGGAGTAGAGAGGGAAGCCATTAGCGGCGCCGTAGCTGCCATCTACGTTGTAGTACGCATCTACCAGGTACCCGGAGGAGATGCCTGTCACGTATTCATTGGGGTAGAGACCGTGGTAGAGAGAACCCTTGTAGTATGGTTGGCCGTAAAGACCCCCGAGTCCACCTCCAATACCGCCTCCAACTCCGAGTCCGCCTCCGAGTCCGCCGCCAACTCCGAGTCCGCCTCCAACTCCGAGTCCGCCTCCGAGTCCACCTCCGAGTCCACCTCCGAGTCCACCTCCAATTCCTACTTCAATGCTATCACCACCGAGGCCTCCAAGACCACCGCTGATGATGCCACCTCCAAGACCGCCTCCGTGACCGCCGCTGATGATGCCGCCTCCAAGACCGCCTCCGTGACCGCCGCTGATGATGCCGCCTCCAAGACCGCCTCCGTGACCGCCGCTGATGATGCCGCCTCCGTGTCCGCCGCTGATGATGCCACCTCCAAGACCACCTCCGTGACCGCCGCTGATGATGCCGCCTCCAAGACCGCCTCCGTGACCGCCGCTGATGATGCCGCCTCCGTGTCCGCCGCTGATGATGCCGCCTCCAAGACCGCCTCCGTGACCGCCGCTGATGATGCCACCTCCGTGTCCGCCGCTGATGATGCCGCCTCCAAGACCGCCTCCGTGTCCACCGCTGATGATGCCGCCTCCAAGACCGCCTCCGTGTCCGAACCCTCCTCCTCCTATCAGGCCTCCTCCTCCGTGTCCAAGCCCTCCTCCTCCTCCAATGAGTCCTCCTCCAAGGCCATGGCCTAATCCAATAGAGCTCCCAATCCCGATTTCACCGGAATCGAGTCCAAAGCCTCCGCCAAATCCGCCGAATCCAATGGAGTTTCCGAGACCAAGTGAGGTCCCTGCAGATTCTATTTCATCCGAAACATCGACTTTGACGGCTTCATCGACTTTTTCTGCCGCCGAAAAGGCCAGCAGAAGCGCTAGACTTGCTATGCTGAGGACGGACATCTGTCGGAGAAAAATATACCGTATATCAGCAACAATTGTCGATGTATTGATTAAATATATGTATATATAAGCAACTTTAATACATGTACAATCAATGGAAGCCATTGGGACTCCCATCAGTTACTTGATATCAATTTTTATTGCCGGATATATGGAGAAGTTTTATATTTGTAGTAGTAATGAAATTTGATGTAAAGTCTGTCATATGAAGAACAAATTTAACCTGATCGCCAGATTGTATGTGGAAATGTGTGATTTACTGTGGTCGTGATCATTAGTTACGTTTGATGGACATATTGCTGCCTGATCTGATGTGATGTGTTTTGTCGGGAAGCTTTTATGGTGTGTGTGTGTGTGTGTGTGTGTGTGTGTGTGTGTGTGTGTGTGTGTGTGTGTGTGTGTGTGTGTGTGTGTGTGTGTGTGTGTGTGTGTGTGTGGTGTGTGTGTGTGTGTGTGATGAGTGTGTGTGTGTGTGTGTGTGTGTGTAATTACCTGTGTGTGTCATATAACGCTTTGAAACTGACGGTGTGTGTGTGTGTGTGTGTGTGTGTGTGGTGTGTCGTGTGTGTGTGTGTGTGTGTGTGTGTGTGTGTGTGTGTGTGTGTGTGTGGGTGAGTGTGTGTGTGTGTGTGTGTGTGTGTGTGTGTGTGTGTGTGTGTGTGTGTGTGTGTGTGTGTGTGTGTGTGTGTGTGTGTGTGTGTGTGTGTGTGTGTGTGTGTGTGTGTGTGTGTGTGTGTGTGTGTGTGTGTGTGTGTGTGTGTGTGTGTGTGTGTGGTGTGTGTGGTGGTGTGGGTGGGTGGTGTGGGTGGATATGTGTGTGTGTGTGTGTGTGTGTGTGTGTGTGTGTGTGTGTGTGTGTGTGTGTGTGTGTGTGGGAGCTTGCGTGCGTGTACGTGTGAGTTCATCCAGTTGTCAGCAAGAAATAATGTGCAATTGAATCCGATTAAAACTGGCAGATTACGAAATAATGTTCCGTGTATTTATATTAACTAGCAAAATATTCCTATTTTTGAATCCGCACACTTAACCGGCCTTAAATATAAGAGAGATCGTGTCATACAGATAAACTGAGAACAATAGGTCGAGAAGACTCAGTAGGAAGCCTCAGTAGGAGAGAAGTTTCTCTCACACACTGTGAAGCCTCAATAGGGATGCCAGTGGCAGCTAAGTCATAGCTGACAACGCTTGCTTCAGCGCTCCAGATTAAAACAGTTCGTGAAATTTATCAGTATACAAACACAATTGTTTAAACAGCATTCAATTTTTTGTTATCTGCTAGAAGAGAATTACAATAATAATTCGTATTTTAAAGTGAATTATTTTAATTGTTAATGACTGTTAGCATTTACCGTACTGAGTTATCAAACAATGCAGTAATAAAAACCTACATAATTAAAGAAAGTCTCTGTTATAAGGATTATACTGCATTTGATAAAGCTCCTTTACTAGCTATTCATTTAAAATATGTTTACTATATTATCCCCAAATAACCTCATATATTCAAGTCAGTATTGTGTGTCTCGCTTAACGTGTGCTCATAGTTCTAAACTCAGTATTAAAATTAAAGAAGACTGTTAATATTAAGAAGCTTATGATCCACCAAAATGCCATTCTCAACCAAACAGATGACATTTTAAGCCACCCAGGTACCAATGTCAATTATCAAGGTGCCAATCTAAGCCATCAAGGTACCTTTCTCACCTACCCAGGTGCCATGTTACGCCAACCTTTTAGCAATTCTTCACCTCTCCTTTCTCTTTTATACCAGAATCCACCAGGTATAATTTAACCCCAAAAATACCCGTCTACCGAATTAAAATCAAGTGTGTCAAGAGACCTTTGAGCTTCGCCACCATTTCCCAATCGCCTCATACTTTCAGGTCACAGTTTAAGGAGTGCGGGTCACTGGTGTAAAAGGTCAGGTTCTTATATCGAGACCCAGTGTGACCGGTCGCTTGGCAGGCAGTGAGGTCCAGATCATGGAATATGAACATTTATGGCATTTAGAGAACAAGTCTTGGCATTTAGTGAGCGTCAATAGACCATTACTTAACAAGGACGATAGAAGGAAATCTATGTGTTAGGTGAAAAGTGACGAAGAAGAAATCATTATAAAACCTCTTAAAATCCGCGTTAAAAATTATATTCCCAATATAATTGCATCATTATCTTTCAGCACTTAATTGCATTAGTATATTTCAGCACTTGATTCTATTATTATATTTCTTTTTATTATAAACAGTTTTCCATAACGCGGTATTAGAATACTTCCGAGGTTCATGTGAAACAAGAATTTAGAGCGTTATGTTAATGGTGCATAGAGGCTGTGTTTGCATGTTGCACGACGCTTCGCGGGCTGAGAGAAAGTGAACATGTTCCGGTTCCGTCAACGTTATAATTCAGCATTATTATTATTATTATTACTCCGTTATTCACTTTCATGTTGCGGTGAGCAACTTCCTGGAAGAAGAGAAAGCATGAGAAACAGAATGAGAGAGAGAGAGGAAGAGAGAGAGAGAGAGAGAGAGAGAGAGAGAGAGAGAGAGAGAGAGAGAGAGAGAGAGAGAGAGAGAGAGAGAGAGAGAGAGAGAGAGAGAGAGAGAGAGAGAGAGAGAGAGAGAAAGAGAGATTGAGAGAGAGAGAGAGAGAGAGATTGAGAGAGAGAGAGAGAGATTGAGAGAGAGAGTGCGAGAGAGATTGAGAGAGAGAGAGAGATTGAGAGAGAGAGAGAGAGAGAGATTGAGAGAGAGAGAGAGAGAGAGAGAGAGAGATTGAGAGAGAGAGAGAGATTGAGAGAGAGAGATTGAGAGGGAGAGAGAGAGAGATTGAGAGAGGAAGAGAGAGAGAGAGAGAGAGAGAGAGAGAGAGAGAGAGAGAGAGATTAATAGAGGAAGAGAGAGAGATTAATAGAGGAAGAGAGAGAGATTGATAGAGGAAGAGAGAGAGATTGAGAGAGGAAGAGAGAGAGAGATTGAGAGAGGAAGAGAGAGATTGAGAGAGGAAGGGAGAGAGAGATTGAGAGAGGAAGAGAGAGATTGAGAGAGGGGGAGAGAGAGAGAGATATTGAGAGGAAATATTCCTATCCAACTAGCTGTGCAATTATTGCTGTGGCTACCATTAACGCATAACAACTTATGTCGTTACTTTCAATACAGGAAACAATTTTTCTCAGGTTATCATTACTGATTCTCTGCTTTCTAACTTTTTTACTAAATATTTATTTACGAATTTAAATAAAAATGACAATAAATATATCAACCTTATTTAATTTTTGACAACAAGGTCCCCTTGGGCTTCATGGTGACACAGGACCGGGGTTTATCGTGGTATTTTGATACCATACATAACGTAATGTACCTAAAGGTACCGTATGTGACAGGAGTCATCCGTGTAGCGAGGAGAGGCTGTTGTCCTTATCGGATATTGCCACTGTTCTCCTACTGACGATTGAACCCAAACTGCCGGAGTTGAGGTGTCTATGCTCTCTATATATCGGGTATGATGCTACACACAAACACCTCATTCAACATATGTTGCGAGATTTCAACGCGAAGATTTTAGCACTATGACACTGTATTTTTAAATGGTAAATTCATATATTTATTGTGCTCACATATTAGCGCTAGCTGGGATCTGACTTTGGCTCTTGAATCCCTCCTCACAACCTCTAATTGGATTTTGTCAGATCTACCAATAACGGATTCCGAGAATGGAATATACTTCTTCTTCACTTCATTCTCATTATCTACTCTGGCACCTGAGTTCCTTGTAGCATCTATATGACTCCTTTAGGTACCGAATTCCCATGTGTGTCCCTTAGTTCGCGTTCGTTTATGTATGTATGTTTCTGTGTGCATGTATATGTATGTGTTTGTGCACGTTTATGTATGTTTTAATGGACGTGTGTGTGTGTGTGATTGTGTATGTCATCTACTTTTGTTAAAAACATGGATCTGTCAATTTTTGTTGGAAATAAATGTTGTAAGCATTAATAACCATAAATAAATAATTATCGTCATGTGCAGTCAAGTGAAACAATATGATAACCCAAATTTCCTAACGATATCTAATTTCCTGCCCGAAACGCTTTGCGTCATAGTGGCTTTATGCACTGTATGTACTAACTCTATCTATAAATCCATCAATGTTTGTACCACACCTTGTATGTATGTACTTTACCCGAATAAACATTTGAATTTTGAATTTGATTTGAATTAAACCCCGTTGATAAAGCACAGAAAACTGATCGGCATGATCAAATATCAGTACTTCCAAAAGAGGGTTGAAAACCCTGTGTGTGTGTGTGTGTGTGTGTGTGTGTGTGTGTGTGTGTGTGTAAACCAAGTAGAAAACTTAGTAGAACCAATAGCAGAAGCGAGTATGGGGGGAGAGCTGCTAGTTGCTTACCATTGGTAGGTCGAGAGTTCACTCACTGCACTCCTGCCGCTCCGGCTCTGGGTTATATATATGCGGCCAGTAGTCGCGGCAAAACTTGTTCCTGCCTGGATGTTGAATGTGGAACACCTAGCCATGACAATTAACTAGCTGCTTAACCCCCTCACAATTTATTTATTTTTTTTTTTTTGTCAAATATGTGCGTGAGGAAGGCGTTTGGGCTTCCTGTCTCCGTTACTCTTATTTTCTGTCTCGTGAATCCCATTGCTGTTTATGGTCCTCATTCGTTGGCAAATTAGGAATTTTGTCATAGATTTTTAAGTACAGGGTTGTCGTGCCCTTGATAATATCCCTCAAATGACTTATCACTTTTGAGAGTACTTTCGCTTTCAGAACTTGTGGTTTTTACGTACACTATTGGCAAGCGATGAGATCTGCATTAATGGAGTGCAATGAACAAGTCCAAACGGAAGCACATAAATTTTTATCGCTAGGAATTCGAATTCGGCCATCGCCACAATGCCCAATTCGGAACACTGTTTCACTCACAGTTAACACCGGGCAAATTAACTAGTATTAACCGCTGCCGCAATTATAAAATTATTTAATTTACAAATCTGATAATTGGAAATGATTTCATTGCATTTCACACTGATTATATATTTTTTTTCACTCTCGATAACCGTCATCATTACGCAAAGCCAAACATACATAAATTATCATCATGGGTATAGAAACACTGAGATAAGGACTGTTCCTGAACAAATAGCCTGGATGTGTCACAACGGAAAGGTCGATGATATTCTTGAGAGATATAAGAATTTTGCACCAAGACTGTAATCTTTTGTTGAATTAATTACATGTCTCTTGCAAATTGTCTATACAGTATACCTAGGTCATAAAAGTATTTGTGTGTACGTCTGATACCATACTACTTGTGTAAAGGAGGAAATGTAGATGTTTATCTCTCAGAATGTTTGGTAATATGTTTATTGTTTGTGATGTGTGTCTATGTATGTACTAACACGATGTACTGAACGGGGTGAGAATAGCTTGAGCTACCTCATCCCTTTGTGTGTATTTTACCTCAATAAACTTATTTCAATTTCAATTTCAATTTCATCATAGTATTCCTAAAATAGCTTTCTTATACTCATACAGAATAACTGTAAATTTTCCTTGGTATCATGGTATACTTAAATACCATTATGGTATATTTTAAATTGCATCATGGTATTGTTTAAATGGCACCATAGTATACTTTAAAGAGCATCACGATATACTACAAATGACATCATGCTATACTTTAAATATATTCACAGTATACTTTAAAGAGCATCATAGTATACTTTAAACTGAATTACAATATACTTTAAATAGCATATTGATACAATTTAAAAGCATCATTTTATTGTTTAATTACCATTATGGTATACTTCAAATAGCACCATAGTATACTTTTGAAAAGCATTGTGGTATAATTGAAATAGACTCATGGTATGCTTTAAATAGCATCATATTATACTTTTGAAAAATGTCGTGGTATAATTTAAATTGAATCATGGTATACTTTAAATACCATCAAGGTATACTTTTAATATGATATATTTTAAATAGTATCTTGGTATACTTTAAATAGCATCATGATATACTTTAAAGAGCATCGTGTTATACTTTTATATAGCACCATAGTATACTTTTAAACAGTGTAGAGTCAGTCACGTGATATTTCCCCTCATGTGAGTTAATTTTTTTTGGAGTGGCTGATAGGGGGTCTCTCTCCCTCCCCCCTCCCCCCTCCCAGGATGCCTCCCGTCTCTCTAACCTGTCCTTGAGAGCCCCTCTCTGCCCCTCTGAGAGCCCTTTTCTGCTCCTCTGAGAGCCCCTCTCTGTTTCCTGCCCCTCTGACCCTTCTCTGTGTGTCCTTTCAGAGCCCCTCTCTGTCTCTCTGTCTCTCTGTCTCTCTCTCTCTCTCTCTCTCTCTCTCTCTCTCTCTCTCTCTCTCTCTCTCTCTCTCTCTCTCTCTCTCTCTCTCTCTCTCTCTCTCTCTCTCTCTCTCTCTCTCTCTCTCTCTCTCTCTCTCTCTCTCTCTCTCTCTCCTCTCTCTCTCTCTCTCTCTCTCTCTCTCTCTCTCTCTCTCTCTCTCTCTCCGTCATCCAAACTCCTCTCTCTTCCTGCCCCGACCCTCCGTCCCCCCTTCCCCCCTGTCGAGGGGCTGCCAGCGTGCAGCAGTTAGGTTTTTGTGAGAACTTTTTTTTCCTTACAGTGACCGTCAAGTTTCTGGACAGGAGGAATCCAGATCTTGTGCAAAGTGGCCCAGAAACACCGGTTAGGACCAGAGTGTTGTGTGTGTGGGGGGGGGGGGGTAGGGGAGGAACAACTAAATTGGCTGCTTCCCGAAAGGGGAATGGTTAAACAGTGATTATATTATATCGAGGGAGTAAACGATTAAAAGGTAATCTTGTAAGATTACGGGTACAGGTGTATACAGTAACGCCTGTGTACTCACCTAGTTGTGCTCGCGGGGGTTGAGCTCTGGCTCTTTGGTCCCGCCTCTGTTCTGAAACTGTTTAATATTAAAACGAAGCCTTTAGATCCTGGGGGGGGGGGGTCATTTGCCAACTCCAGCGACCCGTTCTAAATGACGTGCCGTGTCCTATATAAGAATAAACAAATACAAAAGAATTTTCCATTTTGTGTATGTTATTTTCATGTTATTATTGTGTGTTATTATTATCTTAACACTTGTGGGTTGTGATGAGATCTGCCATTTTTGTGTATTTTAGTTTATGTTTGATAGGGAATTAGGTATGCTTAGGGGTGCCTTCTCGCCATGCCCTGTGGCTGGGGGGGGGGGGGGTATGTGGGCCTGCGGGCCGCTCCAAGCAACAACCTGGTGGACCAAACTCTCACAAGTCAAGCCTGGCCTCGGGCCGGGCTTGGGCAGTAGAAGAACTCCCAGAACCCCATCAACCAGGTATCAGCCAGGCTGGGGGGATTGGTGCCCTGAAGCTACATAAACACCCTATACCCCCCCGAAGTGGCAAGGGGAGTTAGGGGACAACAACGTGCGCTTCTGAATTTAACTGAACTGTGTGGTGAAAAAAAAAAGCTTTTGTTCAACAGTGAGCGCTGACTGTTGTCTCTCGGTAAGAATCTAACACAAATCTTCAGTCTGTCATCTTCCCTTTCCTTTGTCACCCTTTTGTTCTATTGTTGCTCCTTTTTTATATTTTGGGGCAAAGCGAGTCTCTTTGTTACCCTGTTCTTGTCTGCTTTGGATGACTAAAGTTTTCCAGCCCTTGAAATTTCTCCTCTTACATAAATAATCTCTCTCTCTCTTCTTCTTAAATGTGTTGATCCTTAGAGCTTTGTAGACTTTATATGTCAAGAAGCGCGAGGCCCGGAAGGCGATTGTCTTTATAATGTAAAGTAGAATTACTCTGAGTTTTCATTTACATTTGAATGGAGTGTTTGTTTCGTCTTCATAGACCAAAAGCACCAGGGATGCTGCCCTCAGAGACCACAGGCACCAGGGATGCTGCCCTCAGAGACCATAGGTACCAGGGATGCTGCCCTCAGAGACCATAGGTACCAGGGATGCTGCCCTCAGAGACCACAGGTACCAGGGATGCTGCCCTCAGAGACCACAGGCACCAGGGATGCTGCCCTCAGAGACCATAGGTACCAGGGATGCTGCCCTCAGAGACCACAGGCACCAGGGATGCTGCCATCAGAGACCACAGGTACCAGGGATGCTGCCCTCAGAGACCAAAAGTACCAGGGATGCTGCCCTCAGAGACCATAGGTACCAGGAATGCTGCCCTCAGAGACCACAAGTACCAGGGATGCTGCCCTCAGAGACCACAAGTACCAGGGATGCTGCCCTCAGAGACCACAGGTACCAGGGATGCTGCCCTCAGAGACCATAGGTGCCAGTGATGCTGCCCTCAGAGACTACAGGCACCAGGGATGCTGCTCTCAGAGACCACAAGTACCAGGGATGCTGCTCTCAGAGACCACAGGTACCAGGGATGCTGCCCTCAGAGACCACAGGTACCAGGGATGCTGCAAGCAGAGACCACAGGCACCAGGGATGCTGCCCTCAGAGACCACAAGTACCAGGGATGCTGCCCTCAGAGACCACAGGTACCAGGGATGCTGCCCTCAGAGACCACAGGTACCAGGGATGCTGCCCTCAGAGACCACAGGCACCAGGGATGCTGCCCTCAGAGACCACAAGTACCAGGGATGCTGCCCTCAGAGACCACAGGTACCAGGGATGCTGCCCTCAGAGACCACAGGTACCAGGGATGCTGCCCTCAGAGACCACAGGTACCAGGGATGCTGCTCTCAGAGACCACAAGTACCAGGGATGCTGCTCTCAGAGACCACAGGTACCAGGGATGCTGCCCTCAGAGACTACAGGTACCAGGGATGCTGCTCTCAGAGACCACAAGTACCAAGGATGCTGCTCTCAGAGACCACAGGTACCAGGGATGCTGCCCTCAGAGACCACAGGCACCAGGGATGCTGCCCTCAGAGACCACAGGCACCAGGGATGCTGCTCTCAGAGACCACAGGTACCAGGGATGCTGCTCTCAGAGACCACAGGTACCAGGGATGCTGCCCTCAGAGACCACAGGTACCAGGGATGCTGCCCTCAGAGACCATAGGTACCAGGGATGCTGCTCTCAGAGACCACAGGCACTAGGGATGCTGCCCTCAGAGACCACAAGTACCAGGGATGCTGCCCTCAGAGACCACAGGTACCAGGGATGCTGCCCTCAGAGACCATAGGTACCAGGGATGCTGCCCTCAGAGACCACAGGCACTAGGGATGCTGCCCTCAGAGACCACAAGTACCAGGGATGCTGCCCTCAGAGACCACAGGTACCAGGGATGCTGCCCTCAGAGACCATAGGTACCAGGGATGCTGCCCTCAGAGACCACAGGCACCAGGGATGCTGCCCTCAGAGACCATAGGTACCAGGGATGCTGCCCTCAGAGACCATAGGTACCAGGGATGCTGTCCTCAGAGACCACAG